GCTGAGAAACCTTGTAAAGCCCGCTTGAACCGCCTTTTCTCTGAAAAATAACGAACCTGTTCAGTGGAGTTTGGCAGAGATGCCGAATATGGCATAAGCATAAAAGTGAACAGGTGTACCTCGCAAATGCAGTACAGCACCCCCATGCTTAGAACCACCTAGAATTTCACTTGTTAGAATTTTCATGCCGAAAAAAAAACTGCAATTTCTCTCTCTTTTGTTTCATTCCGCCTCTTGGAGAGGAAATCAGGGGGAGGGGTCTCCCTGACAAAGCCATTCCATCCATCTAATGCTGTACCCTTATAAAGGACCTAGTGCACTACTTCGAGGGCTCAATAGGGGTCATACAAAAGTTTACAGTTAATGACAACAGCCTTATCTACAGCCTTATACTTACATTTCACGTACCCGAGGTGGGAGGGCGTGTCTGTTTCTTTCTTTGCACGCTTTTTGAGAGATATATCCGTTCGGGCGACTATCATCCTGTCTTGTGCTAGACCCAGAAGCTCAGTTGCCGCCGTGTTCGAATGGAGTACGCAGCCACGCCCTCCCGATCTCCGAGATATGAAGTGTACTTCCGTTCAATTTTTTCTTACACTTTCGACAGTTTTCTTTGATCAAATACGGATAGCACAATTTGATAAATACCTACCCAAAATATAACGTGAGAAGGTGATTTGGCGACATTAGTGCTGAAGAACAGTACGATGGCGATCACGAGAAACACATAACATATCAAATCGCCCAGCAAATAGCATCCGAGGATAGTTTTGTACTGAAATTAAAGTCTTCTTTTTGAGCCCTGTAATATCTGACAAAGAGCTTCACAAGAATGAGGCATTCTGATCTGGCGCAGATCCTCTAGGCGTGTCAAGGATTCCCTTCGCCACAGTTGTAGCGCCATCACGGAGTTGAGGATTTTGGCTGAGCCCTTGAGAGGATGGGTGGTTGGGGGGGGGCAGGGGGGGGAAGGGAACTCCCGCGCAGAGAGTGAACCAGTTTCAAGAAAGGTAATCCCATACTCATCACGAGAATACCAATTTTGCAGAGCATGCTTAAAGGCAGTTGGCACGATAAATCGCTATACAGGTGTAGGATTTGTACAACTGGCTTAACAGAATTCCGTGACCTCGGACAGGCGTGAAGCCTTTTCCGAGGAGGGTCCCTCTATGACGCCCTATTGAGCAACAACTTTACGTCCCAAGCGCCTTCCTTG